CCTGGAGCTCTTCTGAGCCTCCACTGCCGAGCCGGGCCATGCAGCCAGGCTATTTCTGCCTCCACCTAGAGACGTTCCAGGGGAAAGGGGCACACGGCCACGTCCTACCCGCTGCTGCGCCCAAGGAAGCGGCTCCGTCCACACCCAGAGTCCGGGCGCCAACTCACTGGGGACCCTGGGCGGGCATGGCAGGAGAGGCGCCCTCCCGCCCTCGACCCCACGGCTGCCCCAACCCAGTCCCTGAGGACCGCGGGGCCCTGACTGAGGGTCTGCAGGCAGGAGGCAGGTAACATGTCCAACTGCCGGCCTACAGGGTCCAGCCCAGGCCCAGTCCTGTGAGTGGCACTGCAGGCTGGTGACACGGCCAGATTCCCCCCAGCTGTGCTCCCCCATGTGTGGCCATGCCTGCAGCCCTCCTCAGGCCGGGGCCAATCACGGAAGTCCCTTTCAAGCTTGCACTAGCCCAGAGACCAGCCCGTAGGGCACAGCCTCTGCCGGGAGCTCCCCACCTGGTGGCATGGCACCCCCCCCACCTGTAGGCCAGGAGCCAGCCTTGCCCAGGGACAGGCGGGGCAGGAGTGGCCTGGGATGTAGTATCAGACACTTCCAGGGATGCCAGCCTGGCAACAGGCCACAAGCCACCACAGGGTAAGGGAATCGGGGCAGCCCCTGCCGACCAGGGACACCGCCCAAGAACAAGCTCACCCCCACAAGCTGAGCCATGCTCCCCAGGGCCATGTGCTCGCTAAGCGGAAGCATCAGCTCCACCGGGCAGACAGGCCGACGCCACCCGACCAGGGCATAAGCTGGACCAGCAGCCCAGGCGACATACAGAGCAGACATGAGGGCGAGCCCTCACTCCCAGGGAAGCAGCCGAGGGCTGAAGTGAGGGAGGAAGGCCGGGCCAGCTCAGGGATGCAGCCACCCCGCTGCCTGGGCCTGGGCGGAGGGCTCCCGCTTCCTGTCCAATCAGCACGAGCAGGCCGGGCACACCCACGTGCTCTCACACCAGGCAAGAGCAGGCCCTGGGTTAAAAAGGAAACCCTGGGGACAGTGGAGAGCAGGGGCTGGGGCGGGTGAGCCGAGTACAGGGGCCACGGGCTGGGCACTCCTGAGAGCCGGCCGGGCAGACGTGGCCACGCAGAGCGGCCACTGAAGACACGTGGAGAGGAGCCCCCAAGTCCCGGCTGGGTGAGAGCCAGGGGCCCGGCAAGTCTGCCCAGGTTCCCAGGGCTGTGACGAGTGTCAGAGGCTTCCTGTCGCTGAGGAGGGAGTAGCACCATGTTAAGGAGCCAGGCTGCGTGGCCGGCGCGGTGACCCTGGCCTCAGTCGTGGGGGGTGCGGAGGCCGCAGGCCAAGAAGGCAGAGGCTAGGCCTCGGCGGCAGGCGCGCTCCGACTCAGCTCCTTGATCCCGCACAGGATCCGCTTCATGTGGCCCACTTTGGTCACGCCGAGGTCCTGCAACAAGAGAGCCGCTGTGGACACCAGGAAGAGCTCCAGCACGACCTCCGCCACACAGCCAGGGCGGGACAATGAAAAGGCGAGACCGGCGGAGCAGAGGTGGCAACCATGCAGATGCCCTGGGGCCACGCCAGAGGCCACTGTCCTCCAGGCAGTCCAGCTGGAGCAGACACAGGCCTCGGGCCCACGTCCGAGCACCCACGGGGCCTGTGCTCCCAGCTCTCAGCCTGACCCGGCCGGGCCTGGCTCTACAGCCGTGGCATCAGGCCTGCACAGCCAAACCCAGCCCCGCCGTGCCCGGGGCAGCGTAACTGTTCCACTCCCACTCCGTGGAGCTTCCTGAGAGGAAGTAGCCTGGCTGAGAGCAGCATGGACCTACCCTGCGACTGTGCCAGGGCCCCTCCTGTCTCCTTGCCCCACCCTTCCCTGCAGGCAGCCACAGGGGAGGCCTGGCTCCTCCCACAGGACTTAGCGTAAGAGCGGGCCCTCCGAAGTCTCTCGGGGAAAGGTGCTCATCTAGCTAGGCCAAGACAACCGAGGGCCTCTCGTGAGCTCCCGTCTCCACTGGCCTGGGGTGAGCAGAGCCATCGCCAAGGGCACAGGCGCAGCCACCATCGCTCCAAAGCCACACAAGGCTTGAGAGGAGCCTTGAAAAGAAGCGTGAAGCTGGGACAGGCCAGGTCCAGGGAGAGAGGGAGGCGAAGGAGCCGCGTGGAAGTCCAGGCGCGGTTCCAGGGGACGCTGTGCAAGTACCTTGAGGTCCCTGCGCTCCAGGTGCAGGAGCTCGGAGCCCCGGATGTCGTGCCGTGTAAAGATGTCCTTGTACTCACAGAGACTGAGGTGCTCCAGCCAGGCAGCAACCTCCTCTGTGCCCCAGAGGTGAACTGTCGAGATGGAAAAGCACGAACGCAGTGAGTGCCCAGAGCCCAGAGCCCAGTGCCAGACAGGTGGCCCAGACGTCCCGGCAAGCACCCTAATGCCCCAGCAGCCAGCACCCCAACATCCCAGCAGCAAGCACCCAAAACACCCGGCAGCCAGGGCCAGCCACAGGCACTGCCCCTCACAGTGTGGAGGTGGGGGCACCCTCCGAGGGGTGGAGCTGGAGAGCCCGTGTCTGTTCCTGCAGGGGGGATGGGACACTGGCATTCCAGACGCCTCCCCCACATCCCAGGAGGGATTAACCACCACCAGAGACAGGGCAGTATTGGGGTAACGCCTCGCTTCGGGACCACAGCAGGAAGGGAGACAGGCAGAGATTTAGACTGTGTGTTGTCAGAGCCATCATTAACAGAAACCCCATCTTGGACAAACGTGCAAAGAATCAGCAGGGAGCCAGCAGGGAGCTGCCCTTCCTGGCAGCGGCAGCACTGCCAAACCCAGGCATGGGGCCACCTGGGCCAGGAGCGGCGGACTCAGCCTCAGCCTGTCACTGACGCGAGGTCTGACGTCCCAGCTCCTGACCCAGAGGGAAGTAATCGGTGCCCTTCAACGATTCACACCACAATCACTGCGGCCTGCGGTCCCCAGCCCAGGGACCGTGATCAACCAATTGATTAAATGAGAATCGGCAGCCGACCCAAGAGGGCGGGTGCAGCGGGCCCCGGCAGGCTGGAGTTTCGTGCCTCCACATCTCTCTCGTCACCTCTGCTGTCCTCCCACTGAGCCCAATTCAAGGCAGGCAGGCGGCTCGGTAGCCTGTCACCCTGAGTCTCCGTGGGGACCAAGCTCAGGGCAGGACGTGGCACCAGGCAGCACACAGGCCCAAACACAAGCAGAGGTTAGTTTGGTAGCTACCAACGACTGCAGCCGAGTGACCGAGGTCACAGCGTGGGGACTGCGGGCAGAGCCACCAGGTCAGGGGGAGAGCAGGGACCAGGTGAACTGGGCACAGGCGGCTAGCAGGGCCGGCGGAACCCCCGCGCGGGAATGGCAGGTACCCGGGGCTCCCAGGCTGCTGTGAGCGTCTTTGTTCTTGTTGTTTTTCTCCTTTTTAAACTTGGTCACGAGGCGGAATTTCCCACTGCGGCTGCGTTTGGAGAGATCCAACATGACATTCTGCCGAGAGAGCGAGGGGCTGTGTGAGACCCCACGTCACCAAGGCCAGTTCTCTAGCCAAGTGAGCGGGGGCAGAGCCGGAGATGCTGTTTTTACAGGTTTTGTCCCTTCATGTGTTCTCGCACATACGTTATTTAGTCGGTCATTTTTAACCTTGCCAGAGGGTATGCACACTCACTCACACCAGAGGGCCGGCGCATGTGCTTGCCAAGAGTGGAGAAACAGCGACAGAGAGAAACAAGGAGAGGGACACAGAGAGCGAAAAAGGAGCCCATCACAACCCACCGCCACCTCTCCCTCCTTTCATGACCTTGGGCATGCGTGCAACATGCCTGCTGTTTCTCAAGCCACCAGGTCTGGGCCTCGAACGGCTCAACAGGCCATGTGGGATCCAGTCTCCTAAACCACCACGCCACTGGGGACCCAGGGGGTTTCCGTTTTAACGTAATCTGAAGAGTTTGCTGTTAAAGGCAACGATGTCATTTCTGCTACCTTATGTTCACGCTGCTAGCTGACCCTCGCGAGTCCCTCTGTCATTTTACGTAGGCGGCCATTTATTTTCCCACTTGCAGTGTTGGGAAAGATACCCATCCTCTCATGCTATTTAGAAATTATCTTTTAGGTTAAAAAAAAATGGTGTTGACTCTGCACTTCTCTATCAAAGCTAAGAATATCACTTCTCACTCTCTTCCACCTTGAGCAGAGATTTCATGTGTTTCCATCCCTGGCCCTGTGCTCTCCCCAGCTCCCTCCCTCGCTGTCCACTGTCCGCTTCACGGGGCTGGTAACAACCTGGGGTTACAGGGCTATATACTGTTACAGCTGCTGAAAACATTTTACACACTATTAGGTTGTCAGCAAAGTCACGACATATTTGTTTTTCTGTGCAAAAACGTGCCACGCCTTTTCTGACGACCCAGTGCTATGCTGTTGACTTCACATGAAGTTCAGCGCGTTTACGAGCAACTGTTTGCCAGTTCTGATGAGCTGGCCCTGTCCTTTTATACCCAGATGTTCGCACTCGGCAGCAGGTTTCGTCAGAAGGCCCGAGTCAGTTTTCCACGAAGGGTTTGCGCACGTCGGCACAGGCCTGTGTACTGGAGAAGCCCATGCTGTGCCCTCATCTGCCGCTGCCCACTCCTCGGGCAGCGCATCTGCAGTGCCGATGAGGGAAGCCAAGTCATCCGGGGATCGTCCTTGGCCAGACCCTGCCCCTCCTGAGCACTTCCACCTGTCCTCTGCGGCAGGAGGAGCTACACCCAACAG